TAAGAACAAACTTTTGAGCCAATTTATAAGCTCAAATAAAATTGTAATGAGAGCACGTCGATGTGGCTAGCTCTCAAGCCAACGAGCTGAGCCTCGACGAGCTCAAGTCTAGATTTGAGACTAAAAAAGCTCGACTCATATGCTTGCTAACGAGTCGATCAAACTTATTAAATTGCCAAAAATAAAAAAAAAGTCATATATATAGTGTACGTTGGATTGATGCTTTTATTATTAAAAAGCTCTTATCTCCGTTTAATGGACAAAAATTTGTCAATACTATTACACGGAGTCCAGACGTTATTCTACGTCTGGGCTCCAATAAAGAGTTGTCTTGTGAGCTCGACCTTATCCGAATTTGCCCGACATTTGCTTTCAAAAAATAAGTTGTACGAAATATCATTCTTTAGACAGAGGCGGCAATGAACAGTAAAAATTATTTGAAACCATAAATGCAGAAGATTACAGCCGCCAAGGGTGTAAACGAGTCGAATACAAGCAAGCGCAAGCTCAACTCTTGTTTGACTCTTTAAAAAATACCACTTTTTGTGTACAGCTCGTTTTTTTTCAAGCACAAAAAATGTGTTTGTGCTCGGCTCGTTTGCTTAGCGAGCCGAACATAAGCTGTTTGCAAACAATGTGTCATTTTGACTTCCCTAGTCATGCAGTCGTAGGAGGTTAAGGATTGGAGCAATATTTAAATCTTATTATTTATATCAAAACATCATTTAAGTATAATATAATATATCTTTATTCTATTTTTTAATTAATAGTTTTAATTTATTATAAATTTTTCTAGCCTTATAGTCAATTAAATTTTTTAAAAGTACTACTCATCTATCTTTATTCCATTTTTTAAAAATACTACTCATGGATTAGATCAAGGAGAACCTTCTAGTGAAGCGATCTAGTTTGAGAACGATCACCATAGAATGTTTCGGTGGAGGAGATCTAATGGGTGGGAGAGGGATGTTGGAAATTATGCCTGGCGTGGATTCAGTTGGGAAAGTGGTTTCAGTCAATAGGAGGAAGTGCGGTTCAGTGAGATGCACTGGAAGTAGCGACAAAAATGAATATTAGGAGAGACAGAATGCATAGTGGAGGTTGGAATGAGTAGTAGAGGTGGGTGGATGTGTGAGGTAGGAGAGGGGATTTTGGGTAGACACTTGGCTTTGCAGGGAAAGACCGATTCATTGAAAATAACATGGCAAGTTGTGATCATCTTACCAGTGTTTGGGTCGAGACACTTATAACTTTTGGTATGGGATGGATAGCTAAGAAAAACACAAGGGAGGGATCTAGGTTGTAGTTTATTTCGATGAATAGGTGGGATCTAGGGAAAGCATTAGCAACCAAAGGATTTAAGAATGTTATATTGCGGTGAGGTACCATTGAGAATCTGATAGAGTGATATCTTTCTATTATCTTTTGATGGTAGCCTGCTAATCAAATAAATTGTTGTATGCACCGTTTCAAGCCAAAGTGATGAAGGAACATGGGAGTCAAATATTATAGCAGAGTTGTTTCCAAAATATGGTGATGTTTCCGTTCAGCGATTCCATTTTGTTGCGGTGTGTAGGAATAACTGAATTAATTAATAATACCATATCTGCTGAGTTAGCTTTTAAATGCATGACTAGCATACCCACCGTCATTATCGGTGCATATAACTTTGATCTTTTTAGTGAATTGAACTTTAATTTCTTGTTTAAAGTTGAGAAAATAATGAAGTACTTCACATTTGTTGAGCATAGGATAAAGCCAAGTATATCTAGAAAAATCATATATAAAAAGTACATAATATTTGTAGCCTAGAGTTGAAGTAATAGAGGACGGTCCCCATGCATCCGTATGAATTAATGTTAAAGTATTACATTGTGTGCTATTAGATCTAGTAAATGAAAGACGATGGCATTTAACAGTGGCACATGAATTACAAAGAGAAAAATAGGAGGAAATCCATAGTTGCGGATGTGTTTTGCAATAAGTTGAATAACTTGTTGATGCGGATGTCCATGTCTCCAATGCCACTGATTTGAGGAGGCAGCCACCGAAACGAGTGTCTGGTGATTATTAGGACTTTGATATAAACCACAATTGCATGGACCCTGAAGTAGAAACTCCTGAGTCGTGCAATCCTTAAGTTGATAGCTGTTAGCATCGAAGCTAATCATGCATTTATTATCGAGAGCTAACTGAGAGATAGAAATCATATTATGGGAAACAAGAGAGTTATGTAGAAATATGGAAACCAAGAGCTTACGGTGTGAAGTCGGCAAGATACCAATGCCAGAATGTTTGATTGGGACGGTATGACTGTTGCCAACCATAACGGTCTCATCCCTTGATAGGGTTCGGGTTGATTCACTCGACTTTAATCGAACGTGAGTTGTGTAGTAGTCGTAGTATCAATATACTAATCAGACTGAGTAGGCAGAAAAGGAGAGGTAATATGTGCTGTGTGTGGTGCTTGGCAACAAAGGTGAGAGATTCTTGGGTTGATAGTTCTGATTGTCACAGCATTGAGAAGCGATGTGACCCAGCTTGTTACAAATTTGACAATAAACACTGTCGTGAGCTTTTGAGGTAGGAGCCGAAACTTCTATAGGATGTTCGGGAGAGAAATTGTTGGCTTTATCCTTGCCTTTATAAAATTTGTTCTTAGTTTTGGATGCATATAAGGCTAATTGTGGATCTTGATCGGCAGGGAAAGATTTATGCTCGGTAGAAAGATTTTTTTGTTCACTATTAAGGAGGGCTTACAACTCATCAAATATTTTGGGATTGGTTCTCGTGCGGATGGTAGTCTTTAAAGGATGATACGAGGCTGGTAGGGCTTTCAAGATATAGAGGATAACATCTTCAAGATCAACTCGAGAACCTGCAACAGATATGTTGTCAACAATAGCTTTTACTTGCACGAGATATTCAGCCATGGTGAGGTTTTGCATCGATACTTTGTGTGACTTATTCTTTAATTGGATTACACGGGAGCGATTTGTGGCCTGTAGGCACTTCTCCAAAGTGTTCCAGATTTCCTAACTTGTTTATAAAGTCAACGCATATGGAAGAATTGTGGCTGAAATGGTAGAGTAAAGGGCAGTGGGCAAGTTCTGATCAATTAGTTGCCATGTGATGAAGACAAGCTTGATAGAGGAGATACCCGAGGCATTAAGGACCATAGGCGGTGGAGGAGAAATGATGTCATCTAGGAACCCCAAGAAACCATTGGCTTTGATTATCTTGATTATTTGAGAGCGTCCTAGGAGGTAATTATCCGCATAAAGGGTACTGGTAATCATAGATTTCATGTTGGCCTTAAGAAATTTTAGGGAGGGTTGGATGGGAGTTTTAGAGATTTTGAGATTAACTAACCCATCAAGAATATTGGATGTATTAAAATTAGCCATTTAAGCTTAGCATGGTTATAGCAAGATCGGTACCAAGAACAACAAAAGGATAAGAGGTTCACGGTAGTGTGTACGAAGCCAAGACTGAAGATACACCACAGAGCAGAGAGACCCGAAGGGGAAGAAGAGGAGGAGAGGAAACTAAGTAGCTCACAGTAAGACCTGCTCTGATACCATGAAAAGAATGGAGAATGGAGACACATGAATTCACGGGTAAGTTAGAGGAAAGAATATCCATTTCATACAAATCCAAAGTTATAGGCATACACTATATATAGGGAAGAGAAAGTAAATATTACACCTTTACCACATAGCTAATAACTGAATAAAAGATAAGTTTATTTTGGTTCGATATTAATCTCCTCAAAACGAGTGTAGAGAATCTTGCATTGGAGTAACTTTATTATATCAGCTTAAAGCATTTCAATTATAACAATTATTGGCACTTTAAGTTGCCATTATAATGGTTTAGATTAATATTTTCATGCCTTTTATTGAGTGCTAGAAATTTTGTGGCACTAAAGTAAAATTATATGTTTTAGCTTAGTATGCAGATTTAACACATACAGAGATGAGATGTGTTGAAAGATGAGACACCATAACTTTTACATAGAAAACCAATCAAAGTTATCCACCACTATGTTCTTGAATTGGATAAAATGAGATTATTGTGTTTTAACTAAGTTATAACAATTAAGCAAAAACAGCCATGTGCCAGTAGTTAGGTTGCAAGAGTCGTAACGGAGTAGTTTCCCGACAACAACCACTGGCGATGGTCGATGATGAACATTGGTGGTTGACTTAAAGCTATTTTACAGTGTATGAAATTAGCTACCTCTTTGGTATCGAAAATGGGCATATTTATTCTGTTTTGGGAAAATAAGAATTTTGGGTAAATTTAGCCAAAATCCCAAAATACTCCATGGGATGGTCAATGTTAATTTTTTTTTATCATAAATAAGTCTTTTAGTATTTAAGAACTCAAAATCATGCAATCTTAGGTTCTTTTGATTTTTCTTGTCGAGGCACTCCATTAATTATAAAAATGTCAAATTTGAAGATCATTTGTCCTTTTAATTAATACTTTAAAGTTTTCATTTCCAATCCTACTTCAAGTGCTTGATCTAAATTTTTTTATATTCGGATTGAATTAATTGTATTGTTTTTGGATTCGTATTATAGAGATGTTCTGTTTGACGAGAAAATTGTTGAAGTTGAAGTTGAAGTTGAGTTATCTTTATTTGACTTTGAAAAGTTTTTAATCCAATATGCATTGAAATTCATGCTTCTATTTACTTCGAAGGTACAAAAATGGTTAACTACAGGTTTATAATTTTTGTGAATTGCAATTGGGCCCCTAAAGTACATTTATTTTAGCTTCTATAAGCCAGTGATGATGAAGTTGATGACATACATATGCTCACATGCCGACACCAAAAAATTGTGATAAGATTAATGATGCTGATGATGTATAAGCTAATGTATAAAAAGTTGCTCTTTCTTTGATATGTTTATCTAGTATTATCACAGCACTGAAATTTATAATTCGGAAGAATTTTGTTCTATATACAAATTTCACCATTTAATCTTCAGGTGGGAGAATATAAGAAACTAGTTGAGGAAGGAAAGATAAAATATATAGGATTGTCTGACGCTTCTGCTTCAACAATTAGGAGGGCACATGCAGTTCATCCAATTTCTGCTGTGCAGCTAGAGTGGTCTTTGTGGTCACGGGATGTTGAGGTTGATATCATTCCTACCTGCAGGTTTGTTTTGTATCCATTTGGCATTATCAGAACGGCGGAGGTTGTTGATGAAATTTTTACCCGTAAGCAATTTCCCTCTTTTATCTACCTAACAGGGAACTTGGAATTGGCATTGTTGCATACAGCCCACTGGGGAGGGGCTTCTTCTCTTCTGGGCCGAAGTTGGTTGATGAGCTATCTAGCGAAGACGTCTGCAAGGTGCATATATTTTTGCTTCAAATTTTTTTTCCTTAATCTGACAGTATGCTTTAGAGTTTAATAAATAATTACAATTGGACTGATGTGCCACTTTTCCCTTATAGAATAATTCCATTTCTTGCAGAAAAAACTAGCAAGCTATTTTGCATGTCTTGATTCTTATCCAGCTTACAATGAAATCTAAATATCCCTTTGCTTCTTGGAGTGCGCTTTTTTTTTGTGATGACTATAACACAACTAACTTACATAAGAGTATTTCTAAAATTAACAAATTGCATATGCTGCCAAGATTTCAACCTGAGAATTTAGAAAAAAAAAATGCTGAAATATTTGAGAAATTGAATGAAATTGCATCCAGAAAGGGTTGTACGCCCTCACAACTTGCACTCGCTGGGGTGCATCACCAGGGAAGTGATTTAGTCCCCATTCCCGGCACTACGAAGATCGTAAACTTCAATCAGAATGTTGGGGCACTTTCTGTGAAGCCTAGGACTGAAGAAATAGCCGAACTAGAATCATATGCTTCTGAAGATATTGTGATGGGTGATAGATATGGTACCGGAATGGCGACCTGGAAAAACTCTGAGACCCCTCCCCTTTCCTCTTGGAATGTTCAATGCTGGTGTCTTTATTGCTGTTTTACAGCTCTGAGAAGAATGATTTCTGCTTGCTTGTTCCTTTCTTGCGCAGATTGAATAAGTTATACTTGGATCAACTTAAAGGGTGCTTTTGCTGTTAAACAAGTTACAATTATGAGATTTAATCGTTGCATTGTGCTTTTTACCTGCAATTTTTCATATTTTGACATCCGTTTTGAGAAGGAAGATTTCAATTCTAGGTATGTTAAACAAATAAGTTGCCTGACAACAAGAAAATGAAAATATGATGAGCTTATAAAATATCTTATCTATGATAAACTTTACCTGTGTATCATTTTTGGTTACAAACTTCCTTTTTTTTTTTGTTGGAAGTTCTTTCCTAAGAGCTGCGAACTCACAAATTGAAGAAATCCGTTGGGGTGAAAAACATACAAAGATGATAGAAAACTAAAAAAAACTGTTTTCTTCAACCAGCATTAATCATCGTTCTTTAATAGAATAAGAAGCATGTTTGATATGGACTATAACACTCAATAAAGCTTTTAAACTCACCGTCAACATTACCGCCAAGCTCGCCAAATTGTTACCTTAGAAGTTGGGAATGCCATGAGAACCTGCTCATCTCAGTATCTCTGAGCTTGCCAAGAAACCACTAACCTCACCACCTTGTTACCTCTAAAGTTACTGTCGATACACGTCACCTCCAACGAGATTCGCCAAAGAATTTAATAAAATAATAGATGATGCAAATAGAGATGCTTAGGTTTTGAATATATAAATCCTAGTTTTAGAGTGCCATGTGTGTAAATCCCCCTAAAATAAATGCGAGAGAGGAGAAAATGAAGGGGCCGATCAAGGCAAATAGGATGGCCGGCTAAAATATTTAAAATGACAAATTACCCAAAATATCTCATAAAATAATGACGATAAATAAAGTTGTCCAACAAAATGCAAATAAATGAAGTATCGAATGTAAAACTATAATGTTATAGGTATCAAATATTAAAATTTATGATGATGATGATGATGGTGATGATGGTTAAGATGCTTTGCATTAGCACTCCGGCCCATCTTCAAAGGATTCATATATAAATATTACAAACATAGGTTTAAGCGTTACTATTTCTCCTAAATCAATCACAAGTCCTGGGGAGGGTAAGAGACTTTTCCAAGAAACAAAAAGATTTATGAATGCCTCTAATTTATAAGACAATCAATTGATCATCTAGAATCTGATCTCAATGGTGTGATGTCAGGTCAAGTTTGTGTCTCTCTCTAATTTTAATATTTAATCTTGTGATTATCTATATATATATATTAAAATTTTCAGCACCATCTTGGTGTGACTGAAATTTTATGAACTTATTTTGAAATTCACCAATTCAGATCCCTCATACTTAATGCATTAATGGAAGCTAGATATATAATCAAGTTTATACAATATGTAAGATAATTAAAATAGTGATTTATCATAAAATAAAAGCTAAATAATTTATCGAACAAATTTAACAATTAATCACAAATCTAATTATGCAACTAGTTTATAAGAGTTGGAGTACTCATCTACATTAAATGAATGGAATGCTTCTTAAAGTATTCAAATTATAATCACAATATTAATTTTTATATCACTAAGGCTATTAGATTATGCATACTATCAATTAATCAAATCATATAATAGACACAACATACATTAATAATAGAGTTAGAAAATGATTAGCCTAAGTGAGTGATTTATGGCAATCAAACATATAATTAATGATTTATTCAACTACACCTCAGATAATTTATTCACTAACACCACTAGATAGACGAGTGATGAAAAAATACAAGTTATGTAAGGTGAAGTAAGCTATGTTATATGATAACACTTTAAACTTAAAGGCATAACGTAAACAATTTACTCCAAAACTGTTAAGCTTACCAAAATGAAATAAATAAATAAGTAAATAAATTAAGTTCATGAATTGAAGCTAGTTATACATCAAATAAAGAATAAAATTTTTATATGATTCTATCAATATCAAGTTTACATTCACAAATAGCAAACACTTAACAAAAATTTTCACTATTCCAATTTAGCCATAAAAAATCCACTTTAATAACGATCTTACTTCTCGCTCTTCTACACAAAAAAAGTGCAAACACATTACAAAAATTTAAATGGCATGTTTCATGACTCGATTTAGACTTAACAAAATAAAATGAAAACTATGTATCAGATTTTGCAAAAATTCTTGAACTAGCAAATTTTTTTAATAACATTGACACCAACCTTTGCTCGCATGGTTGACACACTATGGACACTAAATCATACATCTGACTTTGACATCGATGTTGCCTACAATTGATGCCAACAATGATGCATCCATTGTTTTCAGGAAGGGTGATGCTCATTGTGGGCAACAATATTAATTCCTTAATTGTCGTGATGCTCATTATGGGCAACAATATTAATGCCTTCATTGCCAATGAAGGTCAATGCTTATCATCATTGCTAAGTACAATGCATATCATAGCTAATGAGGCTAATGTGAGATCGTGTTCTTTTTACCAACACTTGTTATCATCACTAATGCAAATATATGACGTCGCCAACAAAACAGGCACAAGCCCTTGCCTTCAAGTTCAAAGCTTATATTGTTACTGATGCTTATTATAATTATCATCGCTAATGTAGATGACTAGCTATCACCAATGTTGGTGCCTATTGTTGTTAAAAACTCTTTGTGCACTCTATTTTCACCACATAAAGTTGGCACATGTCATCATCATCAATGCTAAAGCACGTCATTTCCATTGAAATAATTACACACCATCATTAGGTTTGTGGACAACATTGTCGCTAGCAATGACACCTGCCATCTTCCGTTAGACTATCACTTACTATTGATATCAACATGGATGCTCGATATCACCAATGAAATTTGGCACCCACCATCGCAATTATTATTTACGCTCGATGTTGTCGCCAAGGTTAACATGTGCTGTCACATCTAAGGCTTATACATAATGTTGCCATCAATGTCTATGCATGTTATTATCCTCAATATCAAATCTCACCATTGTCGCTAACACTAATGCCCGCCAAATTTATAATTCCCTATGCATATCATATATAATAACACGCAATCAGACTATTGCCACAAAGGTTGATGAGCATCATTGTCTCCTAGGTTGATATACATCATTACCATCAAGGCCACCATTGAAACACCAAACATACACCATCTTAAGTAATTAAAACTACTTAAGAAAACACTTGATTAAGACTGCATTTTCATCCTCAGAGGGTTGAGCTTATCATTCTCACGGAAGGGTTTTAATATTTTATTCTGATGTTTCATTAGGACTTATGATGCATGGCATACGATCATACATGAGCCTAAAAGCGAGGATTTACATCGTAGGTAGACGAATAATCTCAGAGTCCTAGGGTGAAGTTCACCGAGAAAAGTGAAACTTCAGAACCCTATGCTACAACTGTGCCCGTAAAGGGCTTCCATCTAAGCCACCTAAATCACATACAAAATCATGTGTGGTCGATCTCGCTATTGCTTATCAAGAGTTATAGGCGTTATTACATGATTATCATTCAAGCTACCTAGATGGGTATGGTATGCATAATGTCCTAAGACTAATGCAAAGATATTTTTTAAACTTAAAATGTTCTTAAACCTCACCATGCTCAAATGTTTAAATTTAATTGGTGTTGAGTGCATCGAAGCAAGCCGTGCAATGGGTTATGCAAGTGATGATGAATGCGTAAAAGGTCTTTCCAAAAGGTCAATCAGTATGCATAGACAAAACTCACTAAGTTAGTGGTTCTCACAGGTCAAACAACCCCTTTTCATGCAATGAGTGAGGGCCTGAAGATAAAGAGCAAGTGTAACATGTCATGCATATGTCTACAGATTATGTTATTGTTCATATTCCTAAATTAAAAAGAAGTTTTTACTTGATTTTTTTTTTGGATGTCAATCAAGGTTTCTTAGTGCTTGAATCAATTCAGTAATTTTTTTTGTAATTTCAATTACAATTTCATTTTGAAGAATTTAAGTTGAAGTGATTTAGGTTTGGGTAGAAGGTTTAATCCTTAAGTGAGTCTACCAACAATCCAGGCAAAAGACAGAAATGTAGATATCAGTCTATAATTTGGGGTAGACCTATCAAATGAATATTGACATACTGAGATTTGTGGGTGCCAACCCTAACTTATGTCAGACTCGTTAACCAACATCAACCGAACTACCATTGATGATTTAGTAGAGGTTCATCCTTTGCTTCATGCTTCGTCCTCCCTTGGATAGTTTGGATGTTTATAGCTGGTTGATCATAACACCTCCTCACTCTACAAAAGAAAAGAAGACTCAAAGGAAAAGAATCAAGGTTACTACGACATTTGTGTCAGCCCTACAAAATAGTGTTAGTACACCCTAAATAACGTGTAAAATAAATCTAATACGACATTTTATATGTCATCTTTGCAAAACAGAGTTAGCACACCCTACATAACATGTAAAGTAAGCCTAGAGCAACTTTTGTAGTTTTTTCGAGCAGTCCTGCAAAACAGAGTTAGCACGCTTCATATAAGAGAGTTAAATGTGTTTGTTTGGATTATTTATCATTTTTTTTATTTAGGATAACCCGGTCAAGATGACCATGGCTTTCTGCCGCTCCGGGGTTGTCGGGTTCCTTGATTTACTTGGCCTAGAGAGGCGGTGAAGCCAGCTTCGACCGGAAGATTTCTATCAGCAATCATGAGTTGTGTCGTCCAAGAGATCTTCGTAGATCCGGTTGACAGGAAAAAAGTTGTGTTCAGTGATCTTTGTTCATTAATGTTTCATTTAAGTTTTAATATCTTTTTTATATTTTAGGAGGTTGAAAATTTTTTGTTACTTAAGGCTTTTTACCGATTAAGATTTTTATTTTATTTTTATTTTGATTTTGATTTTGAAATGACCCGGTCAAGAACTCATGGTTTCATCCTCCCGGGTTCATTGGGTTTATTGGTTGATTACTCATGAGTGACCATAAGGCATTTCGTTAGTAGCCATGGGTTGCCTCCTCCGCCATTCCTTCTCAAACTAGGTTGCATTTTGGGGATATGTGAGGATCACAAAATAATTCATTAGAAATAATTTTGTTATTAAGTTAATGTTATGGTATGGCTCATATACCATATAGGGACAGACGCTGGATCGAAGCGGAGCGGAGCGGAG